GGTGGAGGAAGGATATCACCTTTTTTGTTTGGTTTAGATTTATAGTCCTTTACTGACCACTACTAACCTAAGATACTTTAACCATTATTGATTTTTGGTGGAGGAAGGATATCACCTTTTTTGTTTGGTTTAGATTTATAGTCCTTTACTGACCACTACTAACCTAAGATACTTGAACCATCTTTGATTTTTGGTGAAGGAAGGATATCACCTTTTTTGTTTGGTTTAGATTTATAGTCCTTTACTGACTACTACTAACCCAAGATACTTTAACCATCTTTGATTTTTGGTGAAGGAAGGATATCACCTTTTTTGTTTGGTTTAGATTTATAGTCCTTTACTGATCACTACTAACCCAAGATACTTTAACCACCTTTGATTTTTGGTGAAGGAAGGAAATCACCTTCTTTGTTTGGTTTAGATTTATAGTCCTTTACTGACCACTACTAACCTAAGATACTTTAACCACCTTTGATTTTTGGTGAAGGAAGGAAATCACCTTCTTTGTTTGGTTTAGATTTATAGTCCTTTACTGACCACTACTAACCTAAGATACTTTAACCATCTTTGATTTTTGGTGGAGGAAGGATATCACCTTTTTTGTTTGGTTTAGATTTATAGTCCTTTACTGACCACTACTAACCTAAGATACTTTAACCATTATTGATTTTTGGTGAAGGAAGGATATCACCTTTTTTGTTTGGTTTAGATTTATAGTCCTTTACTGACCACTACTAACCTAAGATACTTTAACCATTATTGATTTTTGGTGAAGGAAGGATATCACCTTTTTTGTTTGGTTTAGATGTACAGTCCTTTACTGACCACTACTAACCTAAGATACTTTAACCATCTTTGATTTTTTTCCTTCCTTCACCTCAGCAAATAAATTGATTACCTCATTAAATAAAGGAAATTAATGGTTAAACAAAGTTTTGGTAATCATAGTATACCCAATAATGTGAAAATATTTATATAATAAAATTATACAAAACTCTGTTTGGTTGCATGGAAGATTGTTAAACTGATGTGAAAATTCTGAAAGAACTATGAAAACTTAAACTCCAAATTAAATGTATTATCTCAGGTTTTAATTGGTGGATATTGTTCCCCAATCAATAAACAGTGACTATAACTAATAGAATTTGAGAAAATCTATCAACAACTAGATCAAGATGGCAGTATAACAATATCAAATAAATTTGAAAAATAACTCTCAAGGGATTATCACCAAATGAAGTCCTAAATAGATCCACCAAATATATTACATTAAATCTGTGAAAGTTTTGAAAGAAAAGAATAAACCTACCCAACAAACTGATACCAAAACCACTGAGACCCTGAGCAAGACCAGCAACAAGACCAGAGGGGTGGTGTCTTCTTAAAGTTTCCTGTCGTGTCCAGTGGTCAGTATCCATGGAAAGCCTATCCATATTTCTGGAGACACTACCTGCCCAGTTTGTCACTGATACTAAAGCACCTAAAAAAGCAACGACAGCAGGTGATTAATTCCCATATACTACTTCTAATTATGAATCTCAAAAAAAAAATAAAAAATTGTAAATTCAAAGTTATTAAAAATAACCTCTTACTAAAGTGTATTACAATCATACATGACCTTTTGGAAGTAAGACATTGAGTTTTGATTCACTGAAAAAAAAAAATTTCCTTCTGAGGAGATATGTACTGTCCTCACGAGTAGATCTGACGAATGTTGTGGAGACAGCAATTCTTGAAATGCACTGAAATTAATTTTCAAAAACTACATCCTTTAGCCTAATACAACAAGACCTTCTGTTTACATACTTCCACAGATCAATTAAGATGACGCTATAAACATCCAGAACTAATGGCATAATCTTTTCTAAATATAATAACTTAAATATCGATAACTGAAATATAGCGTATACTGTGACCGTAACAGTCCTATCAGAACATAATAACTGAAATATAGCATATACTGTGACATAACGATCTAATCAGAACTGAACAGATTAAATATACAGTGATCTAATGAGCCTATCAGAACTGGATACACTGAATATGAAGTTAAACTGATAACGATCCCATCAGAACACAATAATTTAGATAAAAAGTGTATGTGCTGGCATGATGATGTTAGAATTCTTGACAATTTACCAGAAGTTATCTGTCTTAGCATAGAGGCTGCTCCATCAGACATTCCGGTAACAAATGCCCATGGACCGCGCAGAAGCCCTCGATATGGCATCAGTACAAAATCTGTCAGACCTCTACTCACAGCACGGGCAAACCCTGCTGGGTTGGCTAAGAGATCCATGGAACCCAAAACCCATCCTGCAATCATAATGAGAAAAGGAATATTACAAGATGTAATATTTATCCCAAGTATTTAATCTGCAACTAATACAGATTTGAATAATTTTAGCTGTTAGTGGATTCAGACTAGCCGATAAGAAAATAACAAAAAAGTGTCTATAATAAAAAGCTACTAACTCTGATTAAGGTGTAATTATTATTAAGATTTTGTAGTAAAAAAAACAAGATTTCATTCCACACCTTAAAGAACTTAAGACAGTAAAACTCACCCGCTCTCAGTAAGGCAGCAGACAAGTAGTGCATGGTGAGCATGTGGCCAAGTCTGTAACTACTGCTGAACAAAGCATTCCTCTGGAAGCTGTGGAAGTGTAGTGGCGTGTGGTCGAGAGAGAGGTATAACTTGAGGGAAGCTCGAAGACTCAACATTAAGGATATAGGATGAATGTGAAACTGATGAATGTGGATGGGTTTAGAAAGGGAAGTAGCTGTCACGGAAACTTCTGCAGGAAGAAGTTGCTCTCTAGACTGCAGAAGTATTTTACGATGGATCAAAGAAGGCTTAAAAGTAGGCAGAAGTTTAAAGAGCTTATAAAAAAAAGTGTCTTCCAAATAAACAGATACTGGGGTCAGAGACATCGACAGGCTATGGACAGACATGCCACGAGATCGGTTTTCTTCCGAGTACTCCAGAACAACATCAACCTTTAGAAGTGACTGGGATGAGTTTGGTTCGATTTCATGCTGGAGGTTTTCCTTGGTTGTTGGGTCATTTCCTGATGGAAGAAGAATAACAGGAAAATCATAACCACTTGCTCCTTGTTCTTCTAGTTGGTTGTCCACCTGAATACTTCCCACATGAAATTTAACCTCTTGTATGATCTGAGAGCAGCAAGATGGGGAAGATGTCACTGCCTCAGAAGCTCCAGGCCTCAGAAATATCAGAAGTTGATCCAGGTTGACTCTCAGCACTTCACTCTGTTGGTATGGTTGATGTGCGTTAAGATCATCACATATGATCAGCGACATGTGGGATAACTTGAGAGAAAGAAACTGTATAGTCCGTTCCACAGCTGGAACTCTGAGAGGGTTAACTAATGTTGGCTGTACAGAATCTTTGTCCTCTTGTGCTACAAACTTAGCTTCTCTATTGTCTTCAGGAACTGAAACGGACCTTTCATGATGAGTACCATGGGGCACACCTATACGACTTCTTATTTCCTTAGCTGAAATCTCTACCCTATTGGCTGGTTCAATGAAAAGTACAATTGTGTTAGAAACTCTTTCTTTGTGTATACGGACATCGCAGGCATCAGGAACATTTACAAACTGGTCACCTTCAGACATAAGGTTTATTCCACAGCTCCAAACTTCTACTAACTCACACTGTTGATCAGTGTTCTCAACTTGTTTAGCTAGGCAAATATTGGGAAGAAGATCTGGGGAGTTTGGGTAAGAAGAGGATAAAGCTGGGGGTGTATAATGGGCAGAACACCCAGGACCGATGGACAGAAACTGCTTATGTCCTGTTTTCTCTTCCTCAACAAAATAACCTAAAAAGAAAATAATTGTATAACCAACCTAAATATTATTAATATGAAATTAGAACAAAATAAACATATTTTATTGATAATGGTTAATAAATCATATAATTTATAAACAACTTATTCATTTTAGATTATGTAGCAAGTTTCAAACACACTAATTTGTAGACAAATTTCAAACATTTGTCAGTGCAGATTTCATCATCAGGGTGGTAGAAGAAGCTATTTACAAGAATCAGTTCATCATACAGTTCAATCAAACTGTTCCTGCCACAGTACTTAGAAAAAGGTTTACTAATGTAGATTGTCTGTTGGAACTTGGGAACAGAACATTAAACCTTAATGGCAGCTTGTTCATTCATGGGCTAAATGGTAAGACCACAGAGATTCTTTGGATTCAGATATAGCCATCCCTACTTTTTAACTACTGATCAGGAGGAAGGCAGACAGAAAGTAACACCTGCTGCCACAAGGGTTTCATATGAACCAAATAATGGGATTGACTGTCACTTTTATAACATGCCCACAGCTGAATGTATGAAAAGTTCACAGTAACAATACAATTCAAACCTTCAATCTCTTGATCCATATCTCAGCACACTAGCCATTAGGCCATATCAGTCATTTTCTGTTGTATTTGAATAAACTAATTTATCCCAATACAAGCAGATCATTTAACCCTGAACCACTGTGTCAGATCTGAAAAATGCATAGTTATCTCTAAGAAAACATTTAAGTAATATTGTGGTAATACTTTCTCTTCGAACATTTAAATGCCTTGCAAACTTGCATTGAGCATTTTGGAGTTGTGTAAAGTTAACCCAATTTTAAGAAATTAAACAATACAGACACAGGGTCTTGCTCACAGCTTTATAATCAGTAAGATCAATTCTTTATACAGCACTATAACATATAATATATGTCTTCATATAATAACATGATACAAGGAAGGCCATCATATAACAGCAGGATCTGAGGAAGGTCTTCATATAACAGTGTGAAATGAGGAAGGCCTTCAAAGAACAGTATGATATCAGGAAGGCCTTCATATAGCAGTAGGATTTGAGGAAGGCCATCATATAACAGCAGGATCTGAGGAAGGTCTTCATATAACAGCAGGATCTGAGGAAGGTCTTCATACAACAGTGTGAAATGAGGAAGGCATTCAAAGAACAGTATGATATCAGGAAGGCCTTCATATAGCAGCAGGATCTGAGGAAGGCCATCTTCATATAGCAGTACCATTTGAGGAAGGTCTTTATATAACAGTATGATATAATGAAGACCTTCATACAACAGAATGATATGAGGAAGGCATTCTTCATATAACAGCAGGATCTGAGGAAGGCCTTCCTCACATAAAAGTACAAACTGGGGAAAACCTTCTTCAAGTGACTGATAAAGGCTGGTTTTGAGGTTTTTTAAGGTGTTCGTATAATTTAGTGGATAGGATAGCCTAGAAATGCCAAAAGGTCCCTTGCTGTCCTTTAATGATATGTTTATATAACAGTAAAATCTGAGGAAGGCCTTCTTCATATAACAGTACAATGTAAGGAAGGTCATGATAGATCTGATGACATATTGTCAATAATGAGGAAACACAAGCCATGAAAAAAAAACAAAAAAACAATTACAATTTTGTGCATTATGCTTTACTTAATATACTATTACTAAATCATCACACTTAAAGAATGAAATAAAATGTTTTAAGTGTTCTTGTGACGTAGTCGCTTAAATTCATAATATATTTATTTTCTCATAATTTAATTACTTTTTTCATTAGATCGGAAATGGTTTCTGGGTAAAAGTTCACAGTCTTTAATTAATATGTGGTATTCAACAATTCCTACATGAAGGTGTAGAATTTTTTAAAAACTTGATTTCATCAACTAACTTTCACTTATAACATACTAGTAAGTATACCTTCTTCTTTGGTGAAACAACTTTGTCCATACAACAAAATATACTTTGTATTGTTGTATAATTTCACCACTGGACAAGGGTCATTTTTCGTTATGAGGAAGGTCAGCCCATCCTTCTTGTGGACCATGATAAGGTAGGGCTTAGTAGTTCCACCGATTTCGGGAACAGAAACAGTGAGACGAGAGTCGGGAATAGAAGTCGTCACACACACCGGATAACTCCAAACTGGTTCATCGCTTGACTTCTGTGCTAAACACAGATACTGCTGGTATTCTGAGTCATGGCTACCAGGTGAAGTCAAGTCCCAAAACAGCACAGGTTGGAGTCGGCTATTTTCCGGAGCTGCCTTTAACTTGAGAGGTTTTGGTTTCTGTTTCTTCGAAAACAGTTTGACCTGTAACAAGAGACCCCGTGAGTCCATGGAAGAAAGCACAATACTTGAAAAACATATGGTATCACAAAATTTGGTAAGTTAAAGCCAGAAAGATCAACACATCACACTTACAACACAAATACCATGAACATAATAAAACAAATATCTCATTCAAACAAACACTGATTATATTTTACGTACTCCAAATCATGAAAAACAAAAGCATAGCTGTATAAGAAAAGGATGCAATAAATGTGATGCTTAAATTGCTCTGTTTGTTAGGAACAATGCACAAAATACCTTAAAAGTTACAAAATCAAGTCTTTACGTCAAATGTGTAATATAAAAAAGAACAACACGTTATCTAAGGATACACTCTTTCACTACATTATTGTTATTAGCAGAAATGCCACCCTACTGGTGGCTGTTAGTGCTAGTAATTACTAATCATAGTATTAAAACCTCATTAAAAAAAAATTTAGAAAAATTGAACGTTTTTTAAAAAAATTATTTTTTTTCTGGGAAGTACTGCACGGGAAAAGTGTTCGAATTGTGCTCTTTGGTTATACACAACTCTTTGCATCAAAATGATTCAATGTACAGAGTTCAAAATTTTCATGAATTTTACTGATATAAGCTGTAATGTTTTTATATATTAAAAGTGGTACCATTTATTGATAAAAAATAATAGTTTTTTTTAAGAACTCCAGTTTCTCAGCACTACATTTAACAATTACATCAATAAAGATACAATCAAACCCTCAGATACAGTCCTAGTGAAAGTCGTGTTCTTCTTGTGAGGAAAGTATGTTTATTTAATATTGTGTTCTATTATAAAGAAATGTTTGTTGTACATATCACAGTATTTTTCTTATTGTCTGAATCTTGAATACCCAAAGTGTGAAATTTGTTTTATGGATTTTTGTTTGTAGTGCCACACAATAGATGGTGCACAAGTTTTGGTTACATACATAGATACTGACATATATGCTAAGTCCATTATAGTAAGATTTTGCAGCAATTATTCTCAATATTACATTTATAATATTTAATTTCTATTAACAAAAACCATGTCAATAAAATATTGGAAAAATTTATTCTTTATTTCAAATTGTTTCCCTTCATTTTTTCGGCCGAGTTAAATATGATCGTTGTTTTAACAGATAATCAGAAAATTGTATAACTTCTGAAGTTAATTCATAAGTTTGAGGAAATTCTTTCATCAATATAAACCATGAAATATAAAGAAAACACAAAAATGATTTCCATATATTACCTGTGTACAGGAACTAGCTACCATATTAGTGATCATCAATAAGTCAGTCTCTGATTGGTTGTTTACAGACCAGGCAGCATTCACTGTTATAATTCGCATTCCGTCATGAATCCTTGACGTAATACACAAAGGACAAATCTGCAGAAATAAAATAAAACACTCGGAATTAACTTTGCATCTACAAAAATTATGTAAAACAATATTTATAATTGTATAGATCATTCTCAAAATTCACAGCTAAATTTAATATGTTTGTATTTGGAAAGTCTGTTGGCAGACAGTTAAAACACTGCAAGGCAACCAAACATCAAGCAATCTAAATATATCAAGACACAAACTAGAGTCACTTAAACATGTGAGAATGGCTTGGAAGAACATTAAATTTTGGAATGCAGTAAAAAAATGAGCCGAGGGGGAAAATGCGGTACATATAAGTATTGGTGAAAAACATGAAACATTAACTTAATTAGGCTTAACATCTGAAAACTTCAAAGAAAGAAAGGAATACTCCTATACCTAAAAAGGCTATCTACACTCATTAAATATCTTTTAGTTTTGAGACAGAGAGATATACTGTTTTCCTATTGTTTCTTCTTCTTCAAAAGACTTTTCAATCAACCACCATTCCTTCATTTCTTGGCAGATTTGACTTGAAACTTGGTAAAGTTATACCTTGATCCAACATGCCCAGACTATGTTTTCATTTTTGGGACTTAGGCCTTTTAAAGAATTTTATGGGGTCAAAGGTCAAACAACTCAAAAATATATATTTTGGGCTCTTGTGCAATCAAGATGGAAATTGGCACAAATATAAATTTTTATGTGTCAAACATATTGATGTACAAAAAAAGTTGGATTTATCCATTTTTAATCTTTTCAGGGGGTCATAGCTCACAAAAAAGCATAATTTTGTTTTTTTTATTAATTACTCGGCTGTATTATGACCAATTTACATGGGATTTGGTACAAAGATACATTTTTAAATGTCCCATGCATATACATATAAAAATGTGGTATATTCCCATTTTTGGACATTTTAGAGGGGTCAAAAGATTAAATAACCCGATAATTTTTTTAAGGGTTTTGGTCAGTTACTTACCTCTGTTTTGACTAATTTACATGGAATTTGGTACAAAGATACTTTTCTACAGGCAACACACATTGACAAACAGACATGTTGGACATGCCCATTTTTATTATTAATTGGGGGGTCAAAATGCCACAAAAAATATAATTTTAGGGTTTCTTGACAATTACACTGCCATATTTCAGCCGATTTACATGGGATTTGGTACAAAGATACTTGCTTTTTTACAGGTCCCAAACAAAGATATAGACAATTTTGGAATTTATGTCTTTTTGCTCAATTTTTCAGTGAGAAAAGCACAATGTGGGGTTTTCGTGAACTATTCATGTATATGTCAACCAATTTATAGAGGATTTGGTGAAAAAGATATCCTCTTACAAGTCCTAAGCAGTGAAATAGACAGTTTTTGACTTTTCTATTTTTTGCATGATTTTCTTTGGTGTTAAAATTGAACAAATTGGGATCATGTGGTAGAGACATGGTGCATTCCCCTGTGAAAGTTGGCCTCTTTAATTATGTTGATTATCAGTACTTAGTCTGGGTTTTACCTGGTTTGGAGTCCATGTTTAATGTGTAAATAATGAATGTGTTAATAACATAAAGAGTAAAACAAAATGTAAACGAATATTGAGATTAATCCCACTAATTACTACTAGGCTCATCATGAGTTTTATACAGCTTTAAACTGGGTTATTCCATACGGTGCAATATGTGGATTCCACTAGTACTGAACAGTACAGCAAAAAGTTGGTAATCTGGTTAAACTAACTCAAATAAGGAAACCTTCACAAAGCATCTGCCAGACACTGCTAATTCAGATATTACCAAAAACATGCGACAAGGAAGTTTTTGTTATAATCATCTAGAACTTTCTTTGACAACTTAAATAATGATTTCTTTACAAAACCAATTTTAAAAGTTTTTAGACAAATAAGATAAAAGAAAATCTTTACAATTTAACAGCTATTTTATCAAATAAAATCACAGAATATCAATGCAATCAAAGAACTATCACATGACTTGGACAAAGTTAGTCAAAAATATAAAGCATTCATATACAAGGCTATTGGAAAACAATTCCTGAACAACAGTGTAAGAATTACCACTGTCTTTACCAGCATATAAAAGCAACAACTGTGGTCGTCACACAGAAACAATAATACCTTCAGTTCTTCCTCAGTCACGATCTGGATGAACACAGGAGTGTGGCCAACCAATGGGACACGACCTTCAACCTTAGGCCAGTATTTAGGTACTGACCAGTCATCTTGCGATAAATGAAGAGGCTTGGATGTATAGAGTTCACCAAGCCACTGGATACCCAGAGAAAACTGTTCCTGAAAAATTAACAGTTCTAAGTATTTGGTGTAATATTATTCTATAGATAGAGGAAACAAGAAAAAAAGAAAAAGGTTAGCTCAGTTGGATACAGTTAACCAAATGCTCACTCAACATTTTACTGTTAATTCTACACTATATACAAAGGTTAGTTCAGTTGGATACAGTTAACTAAACACTGACTCAACATTTTACTGTTAATTCTACATTACATACAAAGGTTAGCCCAGTTGGATACAGTTAACTAAACACTGACTCAACATTTTACTGTTAATTCTACATTACATACAAAGGTTAGCCCAGTTGGATACAGTTAACTAAACACTGACTCAACATTTTACTGTTAATTCTACATTACATACAAAGGTTAGCCCAGTTGGATACAGTTAACTAAACACTGACTCAACATCTTATTGTTAATTCTAC